GCTGTTTTCCATTCTTTTTTATCCAATGAGCTACTATCACTGAAGACTCTGTGTTCTTCTGCTTCTGTCCCAAATGATAATAATTTGTTTGTTCTCTCACGCTTTGTTGGAGGTTATCATGGTGGCTCCCTTCGTAGGTACTAAATCATCATTGTATGCTGGCACGCTGCTTCCAGTCAGTGTGAACTCATTGTGTTCCCATATCATTGATAACCACGGCATTATTGTGGACAGTATGGTACAGCTCTAGTTGCTAGCTTTAGTTGATAACTTAGCATTCTGCCCTCTTTTCCAATAATGGTCACTTCTAGGCTTCCAAAATATGGTGGCTGCCAAAATGCTAACATTGAACTTTCAAAAAAAACCTCCCACAAGTGAAATGGTGATTTCATGGTGGCTAAGTCCATGAATGAAATTAAATTCTGATGCTAGCAGCGGCACTTTCTCTCATTCTTGCTTTAGCTGTGTTATCCGTTGCTATCAAATCACTTGGTCTCTGAGTAATGTTCTTCACTTACCCTATGTGATGAGCATTTGATATTTTTTTACTGCATTTACTATATCTGTGCAGTACATGGTTTTTTTTTATGTCTATTTTTAGATAAAAAAGGAGTTGCATGTCAACAGTTACCACATATCTTCTAGTATGTTTTTCACTCGAGGCAGTGTAGTGAGACCGATGTGGCTGCAGGCTGACTAGAATTAGCAGCCTCTCTGTCATTTGAGTTACAGCTGAGGAAGAAAAGGCCAGCAGCAGTAGGCGAGTGAGGCTACATGAGGAGTGCTTTGGCAGGGGACCATGTTGTGCTAGCGAGGAGGACTGCATGCTTGGATATATTAGCAGAGGTTTTGTAACCATTGTAATGAAACGGCCCTGCTCCTGCAGCCGCTGAAAGGCCTTCCAACACCGAATGATTTGGAGCCAAGGGGGAGAGGAAGCGGCTTAAAGCTGAGCTTCGGTCACCGGGTAAAGAAACTACAGGACAAGTATGCCATTCACCAGTTTATTTACACTCCCCTTGTTTGTTAGCACAACCTGGTCCTTTTTGTTTCAAGAGTTAACACATGCACATTTGGCAGACGTGCTTGTACGGGTACATGCACTCAAGTGAATACCAGCAATTTTACAATCTTGAACTCCAGATTATTGTCTCCCTCCAAGGCTTATCAGAGTATATGCAGAGCAAATAGTCTCTCTCATGTTCACTGTCAGACACACACGGCTAATACACAGTCTCACATTCTTGCCTGATAATTGTTTAATTGCAAGACACTTCATATTGTCTCGCTATTATTTCCATCTTGGTTATCTTATGTCTGCTGTCAGGTGTATTTGGCAATGAACTGTTTTTCCCTCGCATGCACCCACACCCTACACTCCCTATTCTTACACCTGTCTGGTGCCAGTACTGTGATAAAGCATCGCCATAAATTCCTGAGCTTTGTTAAGAGGTGTCAGTGGCCGAGGGCAGCAGGATCAGGAAAGGCATGTGCTTATGCGTGTTTTTATGAAAGCCCTCTTGCTTTGTGTTACAGTAATACGGTGGGTGCATGTCCATGATAAAATGTTGGAGGTTGACACAGTTAGCCAGCTCAGGTGTCCTCCAGAAGAATGCAGACCTTTTGCCCTTTGACCTAAGAACATGGCCCTGGAGGGCTGGGTGTCAAGTCATCGCCCCTGAACCTAAGCTTGTGAGGTGTCACGTTACCCTGCTGGCTGCTGCCACAAGGCCAGAGGCTACAGAGGACACAGCTTTCATGTGTGTGTATGTGCCACAGTCACACAGTGCAAGTGTTATTACCTTTAGGATTAGTGTGTGTTGCCTCGGTCCATGTTGATTATCCAAAGAATGTGACAGCAGCAGAGAACTGATGATTCTCGCTCTAGAAGGTGAAGGCATTTGTTAGTGAGGTAAATGAGCTAATGTAGGTCATAAAACGTGGGTGCTGTGTTTCTACTGTCCTGTGTTTTAATTCAGCAATGATGCAACAGCTGTCCTTACTGCACTGGCACATGTTCAATAATTACTGGGATGACAGTTTGATTAGAAACAAACGTTTTCATTCAAATTCAAAACTCAAGACGTGTGCACGGATGCCGCATAAAAGTGTAGCTAATATCAGCTATCTGTGTTAATAACACAATGCCAATATTTCACTTTTAAAAATCACTGATATTATAAACACTAATCATGATGCTCCTACACAATTATTAAAAATATCCTTGTTTATATAATCTTGCTCAGATATTTCTCATATTAATCTTTTGACGCTGGTGCATTTTGCCTTCAAGCTTAACTTGAACATGTTGAGGCTGCCCAAACTAAGAGATTAGCAGAATCTACAATATTATAATTAATGTAATACCATGTTTGGTTCTAGTAGTACAAGCATTGTCTGGACAGCAACGGTACAGTTACTTTCCTTAATCAGATATATGCTTAGTCTTATATAAAGTGTTGTAAAACAAATAGCCATATGCCTATTTTAGCAAGGATATTGCCTGACATGTGTTGTTTTCCTGTGGCTGTATTGTTGCCACTTTAAACAAGAGACAGGATTGTTTTTACTGTAAATTAAGTGACAATTCTCAATGTTTATGTACAGCCTGTATTAAATGCATGTTTACCAAATACAAAAACCCGTGGGTTCAATTAAATACGGGTTCTAGTTGTACTCTATCTGATCTGCACTGTAAATCAGATTATAAGAGAACAAAATAGTTTTTTCACGAGGAATTTCACTTCTAAACTCCTCCCAAAAGCTCTCTGTATACTACCCCTGATGTTTGGTGTATTTGCACTACCAGTGGTCTCCACCCGTTTTTTCCCATCTTAGAGCACCTCTATGTCTATTATAGGCAGGAAGCTGTGACAAGGAAGGCTACTGAGCTGGGCTAAAAGGAGTGTAAACATGGTTTGATGAGGAATGTGAGAGAACAGCCGTGTTCATTTTGTACATTCACCAGTGGGCTTGCCAGCCTTCCAGTCGTCCATCTAGACCTCGGAGTGCCTGGACAAGGGGTGCCTTTGTCCCTCATCTGTCGGCTACACCCTGCCCTGCTCCTGCCCCCCATCTTACCCTTCTCTCCATCCTGTTGCACCTCCTCTGCCTCCCTCTTTTCACCCGTGGGCCCTCACCCCAGAATAGCACAGCGGGTTCCCTCAGAAAAATAGAACTGGTGAAGTTGGCAGGATCAGGCGCTCTTTGCTTCTTCCTCTGTTCACTTTGTCGCTCTCTCCATATTTGTTCTGTCTCTTACATCACTATTTGTTTCCAGAGTTTATTCAGAGAAAGTAATTAGCCATTCAAAACAAAAACTACATTAGTGGCTTAAACAAGGAGTCTCAACTCAATACAATATAGTGTGAATGGGTTGAATAGCTTCTCAGTGCCAACACTGAGGAGCTATTCACTCGTGTTGCTTAATATCTAGGCCAGATCTAAAAACACTCATCAAAAGACCTTCAAAAAGTAAATTCCTTCTCTGAATCATGTGTTTCAGCTTTAATCTTCCATGACCCATGCAGTGAGGTATCAGCTCTTTAGTTAAAAAAGGCAGGTAAGCCATGGAGGAAATCTTGTTAAAGGAGTGCTGAAAGCAGAAAATAGTTATTTAAGTCAGGTTCAAGCTTCCTGTAGGGCAGACTAGGCAGGATGCTCATAATTTGACATATTCCACTTTAATCACTCAAATCGTAGCTGACTCTGTGTCAGCTCGTTCCGTTTTTTTGCCAGGTAGATTTTTGGGGCTTGGAAGATGACAGTGTGTTTGGCTGTGGGGACCTGAATTCAAACCAATAGAAAGAATATACAAATGGGCTGTTGTCAGTACAAGAAAGTGTTCAAAATTCAAATGAACTATGAATCAGATTCCTGGATCTGAAATGGGTGGCTTCCTGATAGTTCCTGATAGCAGAGCCTGCAGCTAATTCTTTTGGGGGTTTTGTCAGTCATTGGCATTGCTTTCAGATACAGTCAGCTATTTTAACCAAGAAGGCTCAGACAGACCCAGAGGACAGAAAGGAGACAGAGCGACTGATGTTAGTACCAATGACTGGTAGGGAATAACTGTTTAAGTTTATAGCAAGTAAAGAGACCAAAAATGGTAACTGGTAACACATTAGCCTTAACAGCTGTGTCCGTATTGAACTTAAATTCTACTGCAAATTCTCCAAAATAGCCCAAAATATTTGAATTATTTGCCATACAAGAAAATCATGATGAAAGCTTAAGTCCTGTAGACTAAACAGTGGTTGTCAGACACTCTATAGACACAGAAATCTTCATGTTCATTTAGACATCAAGGTAGGCGAGAGCTGCCTACAAGGTCAACCCCAAATGGATATCTTCCAGCTTGAATAATGACTGTGTAATTCTACCTCAGCCCTGAAGCAGCTGGTGTCTCCGGAAAGACATTTCCCTGCTTTTCTTTCTTTTGGAAGCGTAATGAGATTCCACTAAAATTTCCATCGTGCTTAGTTGAATTAATACAATATATTGCAAAGAGACCTCAGAAAAATATTTACATTTTTAATATTACATCCGTTTCAGCAACCCTTTTCATCATAACCGTTAATTATCTTGAACATAGCTTGGGTCTACATATATAGACTGTAGCTGTATTATAAAGTGCTGAAGTGTTTATATGAAGCGTTGCCTCCCATATGTGTCTGTCACTGGATTACTGGGTTTCATGTAAACCTAATCACTTGATGATGCTGTGAGGGTGTAGCACTTTCCTGTAAATTATGGTTCACGCCTTTGATTTTAAATATTTTTTTTCCTGTCTATATCTAAGTAAAATTATCCTGGGGAACCAGTAACCTAAAGAATTTGTGACTGATGGTTACCTGTCTATTTCTTTCAATACTACACAAACTCTGCACTCCCTATTCCTGCACCTGTGTGGTACCAATACAACCTTAATGACTAAATAAACATGAAAATACAAAGAAAGAATAATCACATTTTCTCTTGTCCTGTCATTTCCTTTGTAGATTGTCTTGACCTGCCCAACACCGCCAGCTTTTCACCTCCCTCCAGCCCAAACCCGGCCAAGAAGAGCAGCTCAATCAACTGGTCGTTCCCAGACAAGATCAAGTCCCCACGTACCGTCAGGAAGATCTCCATGAAGATGAAGAAACTCCCAGAGCTAAGCCGTAAGCTCAGCGTCAAGGGGACCCAAAACAACAGCAGCAGCAATGGAAGCAGTCAGCTAGAACCGAGGGCCCATTCTCCAAAAGCAAATGGCAGCGGGTCAGAGGTTGTCTTGCAGACTTCAGGGCCTCCTCGGTTAGCTTCATCTGGGGGTGGGCAGGCTAGCCGTAATGTGATCTCACGCTACCACCTGGATAGCAGTGTGTCCACACAGCACAGCTTTTATAAGAAGAAAAGCAGTGGTAGCTCAAAGTCTGCCAGTAAAGGTGGCTACCTCAGCGATGGTGACTCGCCAGAGCTGGTGGCCAAATCTGGCAAACATGGGTCTGGAGAGGGGAAGGGAGGAAAAGGCAAGGATACAGAAGGAGGAGGTGGAAACTCCAGAATCAACGGCACAGAGCTGGACATTGATGCTTTCCGTCATTACAGCTTCTCAGAGCAGCCCAAGTGCAGCCAGTACATCTCAGGACTGATGAGTCTGCATTTTTATGGAGCAGAGGACCTCAAACCCCCACGTATTGACTCTAGAGATGTCTACTGTGCCATCCAGGTGGACTCGGTTAACAAAGCACGAACCGCTCTCCTCACCTGCCGAACAACCTTTTTAGATATGGACCACACCTTCAACATTGAGCTGGAGAATGCCCAACATCTGAAGCTGGTAGTGTTCAGCTGGGAGCCCACACCCAGACGCAACCGTGTTTGCTGCCATGGCACAGTGGTACTGCCTGCTCTCTTCAGAGTGACACGTTCCCACCAGCTGGCGGTAAAGCTGGAGCCACGTGGAGTTATCTATGTCAAGCTGAGTCTGATGGAGCAGTGGCAGAACTCATTGAACGGTGGTCCAGATGGAGACAGGGAGCCACAGGTGTTTGGTGTGGAGGTGTGGCGAGTGGTGGAGAGGGAAAATTCAGGACTGATGGTACCACTTCTTATAAGCAAATGCATCAATGAAATCGAGAAGAGAGGCTGTCAGGTGAGTGTAATTCTGTTCTCGTTTTCCCCAAATAATTTTTGTCAAAAAAATAAGAATAAAAGTACAATATCTCTGTTTTGAAACATGCTTATATATATATAGTCTAATCCTCTTCTCTAATGAGTCAGATTCATTTTTAAATAAGGCTGGTAATGTCGAATTTTAGAAATAATTTTTAAAATAGGAGGGAAAGAATGGCTGGAGGAATAATTCCACATTCACAGCATCTTTTTAGCTCCATGAAATGAGCACACACCCTGCAGCCATCAGGAAGGCTCAATAACTGGCATGAACTGAATGGACAGAGGAGACGTAGCACACTTAATGATGTCACGGAGTTTCTGGCTTCCTGAGGCAACTGGCTCTTTTATTCAGGGAAAGAGGCTCAGAGTTAAGAGGTTGCTGTAGTCATAGCAGGAGTGACAGAGGAAATGAGAGTTCATGAGGCCTTTGACAGCCAGCATAGAGAGAGCACAAAGAGGAAGAAGCGTTTCTCCTAATTAGAACTGAGACAGCAGCAATAATAACGTCTGACCACTGTTTTTGACTCATCACTCTAGAGGGGCATGCAAGGGCCAATGGTAGTGCCTTGCTTGCCCCTCTAGAGTGTTCTTGACTGATCTCTTTAGAGGGGCATGCAAGGTTCAATAGGCAAACTTTTGGTGCCTGTGCATTATATTAGACTCTGTCTTCTACCACCTACGGCAGTACAGCAGAAGTAGTAGCAGCAAACCTTCCAATTTATAATAAATTGGAGAAATTTATTCATTTGAGCTCCAGTAAACAGTTTTTTACTCTCCATCTCCAGTAAGCCTGTGGCTTAAAACTTAAGGTTGCATATTAGCAACACGTCTGAAAGCCTGACTGGTGGTTGAATTGCACTGACATTTAAACAGGAAGAGAAATACAGCTCTCAATCACCTACAGCTTCGTTTTAGTCTTCTTTTTTAACTTTTCACTTTCTGTGAGTCAGACAGTGTTAAAACCTGTTAGCAGTCGGACGTACCGCCCACGGTACATTGGATGGTTTAGGGGACTAATTGTAAATTTGTAGGACTGCTAAGGGGTTAAAGTGCAGTGTTAAATTGGTTTAGGGATATTTGTGCGGTATACACAAATATAAGATGTGAGTCTGATGGTAAGCACTGCCTCATTCACTCTGTAATTCTGTGCTGTGATATCAGTCTCTGCTTCTCCTTCACTCAGTCTGACAGTGTTTGTCGTCTGTCCCTCGCAGCTGTTTTGCTGCCTTTGTTTCTTCACAAAGATGCAGAGCAGCCTTTGTACATGCTATCAGTCTGAGATCAAGTGTAAGGGCTCCTCCAGGCTGCAGGCAGATAGAGTTCACGATGAGGATGACACCAGATCCCAGAGGAATTTGCAGGTTGTGTCACCAAAGCACGTATGGCTAGATGTGTAGCATTGCGCCTTTTCAAATGGCTTCATGGAGACTTTCTCTCAAAGTCTCTTAGAATTGTGTGTCCTCTGGGCTTCTGCGAGATGCTGGTTGTTTGTGAGTGTTTTGAAAAGACTGCAACTCATGCTATGTATGGGAGCACTCAGAGTGCTTTAAAGACAGGGGGATGTGTTTTTAAAAAGAGCTTTTATACATGTCATATATGATGCACACAGATATTGGGACATGTTAGGAGCAGCTATTCAGATGCATGCCTTTATACAGAACAGAAGGGTTTTTTTAAACAGACTTTTCATTTAATCATTGTGACTTCATCTGTCCTTTAAAGGCAGTGCCTTGGAGCTTTCATACATAGATCTTGATTACGTAATTGTTCCATGAAGATTCTTTTCGAAAATTACAGTTTATGTCATCTAGCAGTGATGATATAAGCAACAATCTTACTTATGCTATCTTAACTGGTTATTGAGTTCTTAACTGCTTATTGATTCAGGGTTGTGGAGGCCGATCCCATGAGTGAGAGGCAGAGTGAGACAGATTTTCTGATGCTGTTTTCTGACTTCCATTCTCAATGAATGAATGAATCGACAAGCTCTTTTTTATACTTGACATGACAAGAAAAACCCTTCTACAACTTGAGATGTACCTTTTAAGAGCATTTTTTTTTGTTGCTTTAAGTGATTTTATTTTCTCAGTGGATGATGGTAAATTTACACAACAGTCTTTAACTGTGTGCTTCCTTAATACTTCCTTCAATCCACACTCAAGGCCCAGAAGCTGGAAATATTAAGACACTTTGTTTTGACACAAGTGTTGTAATTATTGTGGCTAAGAGACTCAATTATGAGAGCAGCATAAAGTTTACTACTTCATGTTCTCCCTATGCATGGATATTTCTTCTACGGGCATGCCGGCTTCCTCCCACAGCTCAAAGACATGCATGTTTGGAAAATTTATGTTTCTAAAATTTTTAGGTGTAAATGTGGGCGAGTGGTGGTTGTGTTTCTCTCTGTGTTAGCCATGTAACAGACTCGTAATCTGTCTAGGGTGTACACAGCAATCTGTGATAGGTGAGACAGGCTCTATCCCTACCATGACCCCAAATTTGACAAGCTGTTGTGAAAGTTTCAATCTTTTTGTGCTTTAATTATTAGTATTACTTAGTATTGATTAATACTATGTCACACACATGAAATGGGCGATCGTGGCTCAAGAGTTGGGTGTTCGTCTTGTAATCGGAAGGCTGCCGGTTTGAGCCCCAGCTCAGACAGTCTTGGTCGTTGTGTCCTTGGGCAAGACACTTCACCTACCGCCTACTGGTGATGGCCAGAGGGGCCGATGGCGCAATATGGCAGCCTCACCTCTGTCAGTCTGCCCCAGGGCAGCTGTGGCTACAACTGTAGCTTGCCTTCACCAGTGTATGAATGTGAGAGTGAATGAATAGTGGAATTGTAAAGCGCTTTGAGGGGTCCCGAAAAGCGCTATATAAACGCAATCCATTATTATTATTATAATGTCAGTGGGTGTTTTTCACAATTACGTTTATATTTTATAAACAAAAAAATATTACCGATTGCTGACTGCCTGATAAAATAATTAGCATATTGAGTTTTGCCCATGTCATCTCCCATCATGTGTGTCTTTGTATGCAGAGAATACGCCCACATAAATACCCTAAAGTCAATTAAATGCACTTTTCTTTCTGTCCTTTAACTCTTTGTTGTTTAAAATATTAAAGATATTCCTAAACCAAGAAAAAAAGCTTCTGACCCCTCCACATCACCTAGACATCATCTTTCCTCTGGATCTCATTTCTACATATAGGGTTGGCTAGTGGTGCCTGTTGTGCTGCCCAGAGGCCACAGTTCTTAAGTCCTTTTTTTTGCTAACAGCTGTTCCCCGCCTGCACTCAGCTCTGCCCCAAAGAGAGAGCCTTCGCTTTTTTGTTTTTTTGTTTTTTTTTCTGAATGGACTTGTTGTTCATTGTGCCCAGTGACTTCTGTTTACTCGCATACAAAGCCAAATCCCTGCCTAATCTGTCCTCCTCACTCCCTCTCGTGTGAGGTTTAGAAAAACGCTGCTGGACTCGACGAGGAGAGTTCACAAATAGCTGCTCTGGTGGGATGGGGGAGACATTATAGCGCTCCTACGCTGGAGCCCGGAAAGGCCGGCGGTGTGTGTGCAAGTGTGTTTTGTGAGGAACCGGGCCCAACCCGCCATTCACAGCCCACTGATTTAACACGTTTCCAGGGCAACCACACCAGTTGGTCTGCTATGCCACATACCAGACAGACACATGTAGGAGAAATTATGGTATGTCTGTAGCCGGGCCTAATCCCAGCATAACAAGGAGAGCGCTGGTGCCGAGTTACAAACATCAGATGTCTCAAGTTTCTTTAGGTCACAGTCTGGAGCCTTAGGTAAAGAAACATAAATGCTTTATAGCTTAGTCCTTTCATTTTTAATGCTGAGCTGTCACTTGGATTTTAGAAGATCTCAGTGTTTATCCATTCATTCATGAGGATGTCAACTCTAAGATCATTTCACTTTGCCAGCTAATTTAGTGTCATGTATTACTGTTCGGTTTCATAAAGAGAAAATGGTCCAGGAAAATGGTCCTCAACATGTTGTCTCCAGAGTGGGAGGTTAATTTTGCTTTTACCATACTGTGTTTAAGTCTTTACTTTTGCAATTGTCAGTTTTGTGGAAATGATTTATTACAGCAGCAGAATATCATGAGAGACTCATCAGGCTCATGACTGTTGCAAATATGTTAGGATAATGTTATGTGGAGTGATGAGTATGCATAGCTCTGGGGTCCACAGGTGCACATATATAGTAGAAGTAGGGCTGCTCAATTAATCGAATTTTAATCACGATTACGATCTGGGCTTTCAACGATCATTAAAAATGACTGAGCCGATTATTAGCCCCTCCCTCATTTATCCGCGACACCTTAAGGGCCGGTCCGTGAAAATATTGTCGGGCATAAACCGGTCCGTGGCGCAAAAAAGGTTGGTTTATTTTTTTAAAGTCATTGTTAACCCTTTAAAGCCGGTCAGAGCAGCACGCTCCGTTTTGCGTAACTATTTTTAAATCCCTGTAGAACC